TGGGTCCTCATTTTCCCCCACCTCGGAAGGATGGAAGGCTGAGCCGGTGAGATTAGAACCGCCGAACTGCAGATAGCAGTCAGCTGAAGTGGCCTGAAGTACTGTACCCTAACCACTGCGCCACCTCGGCGCAGCATGCCCATTATGGTCGGAAGTCACGATGTTCATAAAACATGATCACGTGACCAACCTGATTTTATGACTTATTTTGCAACAGGCATTAAGCAAATCATGGTCATTAAGTGAATCCATGGGCGTTAAACAAACCCCTTGTTTGCTATGGGGGCGGTTTTACCAAAAACCGGAAGTGAACACTGGGTTTTGTTAAAAACATCGTAAAACATGGTCATGTGACTATGTAGGATGCTGCCAATGGCCATAAACACAGACCAGTTGCCCAGCATATGAAATGTGGTTAAGTGACTATGGGGGGTGGTGGGTTGGGCATCAAAACGCAGGGACTAAGTCATAGGTATCTTTTGGGGTCTGTCGTATCTTTGAATGGTTCGCTAAGCAACCCGTCGTAAGTCGAGGACTGTCCCTATTAAGCATCAGTCAGTTTTGACCACTGACGTGGATGTCAGGTGAGGAGGTGGGCAGTCGAGTAGGGGAAGGAGTTGCCAGAAGCTGGGGGCCGGTGTTAAAAGAGGATTTAGCCTAGAATCTCTCTGTAGCCACAAGTGGACTTGGTACCCACATTGGGATTCTAGGCTGATCCCTCTCTTAACGCCGCCCACAGTTTCTACCACTTCTGCTAGTTTATTGTTGCCAAACTATTTCTCAACCATGAGAGCTTGAAACTCATCTTGTGCGCATGGCACTAATTTGTTGCCTGGGTATTTCCCACGTCTTGTAACTGGGAGCATCCCAGGCGGGATTCGCACGACGCCTTCGACTGAGCCGTCGGCAAGCAGTTGTTGTCTTGGTGTGACATCGACCACGTTCCAGGTTTAACGTGGCAGCCTGGCCTACTGCACAGGCTAAACAAGGCCCAGGTCCTGCCCACGACTGACCCACAAACGTCACCACGCCCCACTTTAATTAGTCCCGCCGATTGCGAAAACTCCGCCCGTTTGCAAGGCGGGTTTGTGGTAAATGCGAGAATCCCGTTCTGTGTCAGGGAGATCATGTTGCAATCTGGTGGCTCCCCTGAAGCTCCTGCCTCGGTGAAGGGATGTCAGGCTGGGAGGGGCTGCCTGGAGCCATGAGGGAGGGGCCTGGACATGAGACAAAACCCAGAGGTAGAAGAACAGGTGAGAAAGTCACAACCCTGCCTTGATTTTGCTTAGTATACAGAGTGATGTTGCATTACCTTCCTCCCCACCCCCACCCCTTTTGCAGGAGCTAAGTTGTGGCCGGAGCCCCCTCCACCTGGCGGTGGAATCCCAGAGCCCTGAAATAGTGGAATACCTCTTGCGTGCCGGAGCTGACACAGAGGCACGCATGTATGTGGGCTACACGCCCATGTACAGCGCCATGCACCGGCTTGACCAAAAAATCCCACAGCTCTTACGGGAATTTGGCTGCGAGGAGCCGGAGTGGGATTCCGAAGAAAGTGTGGACAGTAACAGCGAGGTGAGTGGGATCATAATCGTGAGAGAGAGAGGTAAGCTGTGAGGCGGGCCACTTGGCACTCTGGGGGAGGGGAGGGGAGGGAGGGAGGAAGGTGTCTCAGGCAAAGAGGGAGGGAGGAGTTGAGGGAGGGAGGGAGGGAGGAGTCAGACAGGATGGGAAAAATGAAGGAAGGCAGGGAAGGCGGAAGGGAGGGAGCACGGAGTCAGATGGAGGGAGAGGGAGGAAAGAAGGAAGAAAAAAGGAAAGGAAGGAGTCAGGATGGGAGAAAGAAAGGAGTCAAGGTAGGGAAGGAAGGAAGGAAGGAAGGAGATGGAGGGAAAGGGAAGAAAGAAGGAAGAAAAGGGAGGGAGGAAGGAAGGAATTGAAGGAAGGAAGGAGTCGAAGGAGGGAGGAGAGAAGGAGTCAGACAGGATGGGAGAGAGGAAGGAAGAAATCAAGGCAGGGAAAAGGAAGGAAGCAAGGAGTCAGAGGGAAAGGGAGGAAAGAAGGAAGAAAAGAGGAAGGGAGGAAGGAAGGAATCAGACGAGAGAGGAAGGAAGGAATTGAAGAAGGAAGGAAGGAGTCGAAGGAGGGAGGAGAGAAGGAGTCAGACAGGATGGGAGAGAGGAAGGAAGGAATCAAGGCAGGAGGAAGGAAGAGAGCAAGGAGTCAGATGGAGGGAAAGGGAAGAAAGAAGGAAGAAAAGAGGGAGGGAGGGAGGGAGGAAGGAATCAGACGAGAAAGAGGAAGGAAGGAATTGAAGGAAGGAAGGAGGGAGGAGAGAAGGAGTCAGACAGGATAGGAGAGAGGAAGGAAGGAATCAAGGCAGGGAAAAGGAAGAGAGCAAGGAGTCAGATGGAGGGAAAGGGAAGAAAGGAAGAAAAGAGGGAGGGAGGAAGGAAGGAATCAGACGAGAAAGAGGAAGGAAGGAATTGAAGGAAGGAAGGAGTCGAAGGAGGGAGGAGAGAAGGAGTCAGACAGGATGGGAGAGAGGAAGGAAGGAATCAAGGCAGGGAAAAGGAAGGAAGCAAGGAGTCAGATGGAGGGAGAGGAAGGAAAGAAGGAAGGAAGAAAAGAGGGAGGAAGGATTGCATGCTAACATTCTCTACAAGAATCCAAACTACTAACAGAAAAAGCAAATTGGTGGTAGATAAAGATCAGCAGAATTCAAGGTGGGCTGGAATTTGGGCGCAACTCAAAACTGATGCTGCCTTTCACACACACACACACACACACACACACACACACACACACACACACACACACATGAGCTCAGTCCTGCAGGCATCCACCTCCTTTGACCCATCTTTCTTTCTTTCCTTAGGAAGAATATGACGACATCGTGATCAACTGTGGCCACTAGAAGGGAGCCCGAAAGAGCCCTTTTGCCCCACGCTGGACTCCGCTAAAAGTGCCCCAGGGTGGCAGCTGGCTATGTTCTCTGTAGCAAATTGCATCTTCACTGTGAGCTAGATGTGAAACTTATTTATAAAGGCCGGGACGAAAGGGTTAGCAGCCTCGCCTGGCCCGGAGGCCTCTTTCCCCAGGGGCCCCCATTCCGATGTGTACCCTCCGTTATTTTGTCCTTCGGAAATTGATGTCTCGTCTCCGATGTCTCTCTCTTTGCCTGCCTTGATGTCTCAGAATCAGTAGGTTCGGGTTTCCTTCGTTATTAGCCAGTGGCCGGCGTGTGTCCCAAGCAGAGCCTAGTTGCGAAAAGGCCTCCTCTTGTCCCATCTCTTCCTGGATCACACACACACCCCTCCCCGACCTTCCTGGGGATGCTCACGGTCAGATTCGGGTTTCCCTTCCTCCTTAAATGTCTGTGAATCTTGTTCCGGAGAGCTGGAGGGTCTGAGGACCTTAGATGGGCTCCTCCTGCCTTGTCGTCGCGGATTTGCCAGGCGCGAACAGCCAGATTTCCCGGTTGAAGAGTTCAATCAGCTACTTCATTGCTGGTGTGTAGAATACAGGAATCTGCCCAGATTGCCAGTTTGCGCCTTGGTCAGACACAGTAAGGTTCAACCGCATTCAAGAAGGTCAGGCGTCGCCCTTTTGTGCCTACGTAGAGATTCCAGACTAGTTCCCCGCTTGACTCCTCCCCCTCGCTCGGCCAATGTCTTTCCGACGAGAATAAGGTCCTGGCACCAGGGAAAGTTTTTCCTCTTCGCGGCTTGGTTTTCAACACAACCGTCACCCCAACCGGCGTGAGATTTTTGCGGGCGAGCTGTAACCCTAAATATTTGGACCAATTTTTATCCGGGGCTTCGCAAAATACCAACTTTGAAGGGGGGGGTCTCATAGCAATTGGGGGGGGGTTGTTTAGTTGGGAGGGGGAGATCTCTTCCGAAATAAAAGCGGGATTTAGGAAGAAGAAATTTTAATTTTTCTTTCCTTCTTCTGGAATTGTAAAAAAAAAAGGAGTTTGTGGATTGTAAAAAGAAAGTGGAAAAGTGAAGCTTAGACGAGCAGTAATTCTGTCAGGCCCTGATGAAGGGATGGTCTCAACTCACCTTGTCTGGAAGGGCGGCATCATTATTGCCCGAAGCCCCCCACCCCCCGAATCCCCCCTTGTTGGGCAGTTCAGATACGAGCCCTGAAAAAACTTCCCGCTAAATTCCAAGGGAAGTGAATCCTTTTGGCCAATCCTGCCTCTTCTTCCCACTCCGGCTTTATTTCTAAATCTGGAGAATAAACTGGGAAGAGGGAGGATTGCAGTCCTGTCTCTCCCCAGTATCTGACAAGCCGCTAGGAAATAATTTGTCCCCAAAAGGTGACCGCGGACGGCATCACCGCGAAGGAAAAGATGCCAGTGCAAATTAGCGATGGTTAGGATGGGTCTAGCACACTGTTTCCCAACCTCGTCCACTTGAAGATGTCCGGATTTCAACAAGCTGGCTGGGGAATTCTAGGAGTTGCAGTCCGGACATCTTCTCAAGTAGGCAAGGTTGGGAAACACTGTGCTAGCCGCTAGGATTCGATGGAAGAAGACAGAATTGGAACCCAGAACCTGCTTGGAACTGGTGTTTCACAACAACTGGGGGGGGGGGGAAGGAGGCTGGAGGTTCCCCACTCCTCTCCTAGGAGCTGTCTCCGGAGCGTAACACCCCCCTGCAGGAGTGTCTCTTTAAAATAACACACACACACACACACCACCGGTATGCCTGTAACAAAGAGGAAAGAATTGTGGGTTTACCAGGCTTTTGAACTCTGCTCTGCCTTGCCGTGTTCCTAGTCCCCCTTTCCACGGACGCTCAGTGTTTTGAAGTTCCAGTGTGGTTTCCTGTGACCTGCATTTATGACTCGATTCGCTCTCTCTCTCTCTCTCTCTCTCTGCTTTTTTCCCCCCACCCCTCCTTCCTGGCTCTTCTCTGTCGATTGTATTCTGTAGGTCTTCCCGAGCAGACAGATTAAACTTTACGGATACGGTGTGTGATTTTGTCTTCTTTCTCATTGCTGCTGGCGCCGGCAACCCCTGGCTGAAAGTTCAGCGGCATCACACTCAGATAGGAGGACGCATAATTCAAACACACACACACACAGACACCATCGCACAGTGGCGCAGGGGTTAGAATGCAGCATTGCAGGCTACTTCGGCTGCCTGCAATTCGGCAGTTCGAATCTCACCAGGCTCAAGGTTGACTCAGCCTTCCGTCCTTCCGAAGTGGGTCAAATGAGGACCCAGATTGTTGGGGGTGCGCAAGAGGCCGACTCTAAACCGCTTAGAGGGGGCTGTCAAGCCCTGCGAAGCGGTAGATAAGTCTAAGGGCTATTGCTGTTCTCAGATCCAAAGCAGAATATGATGCCAATCTTTCTTTACATCTTTTAAGATGTAAAATTTCCCCTGTAGATTTCTTCCCGTTCAACTGGCATTTAACGCCGATATTATGGGAGGGAAAACGGCTGGATTGCCCAATTAGTAGAGGTGCGTTTGTCTTTTATTTATTTATTTATCCCATCTTTTTTTAAAGATTTCTTTTTATTTATTTTCAAAACAAACATACAAGTCCTCCTTTACATAGTGTAGAAAGTGTATCAGCTGGTTACAAAAGGCTTTTGTGCA